GTGGTGGTGGTGGCGGTGGTGGTATGTTTGCTGCTTTTGATCTTGTCCTTGTTAATTACTGGTCTTGTTCGTGTTGTGATTGTGGTTGTGGTTCTTGTTGCGGGTTGGGGTTGTGCCGGGTTGTGGTTTCTGGTTGCTGAAACGAGGGCTTTTGCTTCCTTTGCGGTATTCATAACTGTAGCTGCGACCGAAAGAGCCGAAGTGTTGATATTCACACAAATGCGGCAGAAGGAATGTGGCTTGCAGCCGCTGCTTGAAGCAAATCCTCCTGGACGGCCACGGTTGATTCGGGTCGATATTTCTGGAAGCTCAAGCCGACTCAAGCCGCAAGGGCCAGAGCCCGGTATCTCGCGCAACGCCTTGGATCGAGACACTCTCGTGAACGGCAGGGTGCCCGCTGCTCAGAAAGAACTCGTCAGGTTCCACACGTCCGCCGTCCGATGGTCAGAACAGGATCGGATTGCCCGTGCCTCCCGTCTGATCTGTCGAAGTATCAAGAGTCCCCAATTAGTCGCGAAATCCGTCGAGTTGTCGCTTCGCACTGTGTGTTGGCGTGTTTGGAGGCCTCGGTCAAACGGTTAGGCCTCGGCCTCGCGGGCGGTCTTGCTGGAATGGGCTTCAACTTTTCAACTGCACGCCTCGAGGGTGGAGTTGGGCCCATGGGGGCGAGCTTTACTGAACTGACTGAACAGCAACGGGACATTCTCAGATCCAGTTTTGCTTTGTGCCGAGGCCTGCGAGAATACCGACAGCCGTTTCAGCTGGGTTAGCTTCGATGTGGCGTGCTGTGACGGCTTGGCATCGATACGAGTAGGGCGGGCTTAGCAAGGAAGCGAAGGCAACCGGGCTGTCGTGCTGCAACAGCGTTACCATGCACAGATGCTGTGGTCTTCTTTGCAGCGCTCGGCGGTGTGTCGGCATACGGACGACATACCAGTGGAGCTTTCGATATGATTCCCCAACGGCATCGTTCATATTGTATGCATGTTCTCTGTATGCATGTTCTTGCGTAGTTTACTGCCATAGCCGAGCAGCACTTTCCTTTTCGTCATGGGTGTCTGAGTTTTACTCCGGATCGCTTGAACCAGGTGACCTGTCACTTGTATGCTCAAAAAGGCTTGTTTGTCCAAAAGGTCTGGTTTGATGCAGCACCCAATAGATCCTGACAAGAGAGGCAGGGCCATGCAACATCCGTCATGGGTTCCGACTGCTCGAATCAGCAGGTTCTTGCAGGTCAAGATCCGCAGAATCAAAAGGTAGACTCCCGGAGCCAGCAGCAACTACAGTGCACCAAGCAACAGTTAAATTATGCCAAGCAGTCGCCACATCAACGGACCGTCGCGGCCGAGGCCGTCTGAGGAGTGTATTTAGGTAGATACCGTCGACAGACAGACTTCGATTGCGCATTCGGGGCCTCACGATTAGCTGACAGATCCTCAGCAGCTCAGAGTGAAGACGTGGAACCGGGTAGAAACTATATAATTTAGCAACGCCGCCCCTTTGAGCTTGCAGCTCAATCGTCGGCAAGACAGAGAAACTACATCGTCATCACTGATCGAAGCGGCATCCAGCTGCGCCGCACCACATGGGTAGTGTCGTTAGACACGCAATGCACAACCAGCCTCTCCACACCGGCTTTGCCATTTCAACGGCTGACGTACATACCATTACAACCATGACATACCATTGCAGAACCATTGGTGTACTCCGAATACGAGAAAGAGACTTCGAAATTTGCGTGTTGCTCATGGCCGAGCCCTTCGAAACCATGGGCTGGGCCAATGAGTGTCGATGTAAATAGTGAAGGCTGCAAAATGTGAAAGGTGTTGCCCCCATCGGCCCCAGCCAGATTACTAAACGATACTAAACGTTCCATCGTACAAAGAAGATTCGCAAAGATCCGATATCTGGGGAGGACGAGTATTGATGCAAGTTGCCCAAAAGCACTTCAAGCTGTTGGTTGTTGCAGTCGTAGTTGTTTGTGCGGCACCTTGATTTGCAATGTTCCCTTGCTGTGACGAGGCACAGCCGGACATCGTGCGCATCATCAAAGAGGCCATGGTTAGGTTTTGATTGGCAGGCTTGTTGCTTTTCGGGGCTTCCAGGCGCAAGCCTGAAATCAAAAGGTTCGGTCGGAGGCGTCACGAGCTCCCGTCGCACGCCTATGCAGGCCGTCGACAACGTCGGCAAATCGTGAGAGCGGGTCACGGGTAGGATGTTAGCATTGGGGTTCAGAAGTTCCAGTCCTGCTGTTGATGGAGGGTTCACAAGAGTGCTCGAAACCCCAAACCGCAAGACTTCCGGCACGGGAGGCCGGATTCAAGCGTGTACTGTACTGGATTGAAGGCGCGAGGCTCCAGCTTGAGCTGCTAAAGCAGCTTGCTGGACCTCCATCGGTCCTCTGGGGAGGCTTTCTCAACACAGTTCCTGATTAATTAAGCTGTTATTCTACAGAAATAGAACCCTGTGAAGTTAAATCAAGCTTTTGGACCCTGTATACATTGGGAAGCCAATTTGTGACCACCTCCGCCATCGGCGTGCAATTTGATAGCCCCAACCGGCGCATTTTTCGGATCTCGGCGCCGGTGGAGAGTGGTGTTGAGGCTTTTCGCATAGTCGTGTCGGCAAATGCCATATGGGATTCAGAAAATAGGCGTACCTCATGCAAGGGCCCTCATACAGTATTTTGGGGGGGTTCTATATTGGCCGATCTTCTGAAGCTCCCACACGTATCATCGTCTCCGAGCTGAGGCTTCGAATCATCCTGAGCATGCATGGTTTCCTCCTGAACTACCTAGACCCTCCCTCTACCCTCAGTTAGACCCTCCCTGTACCCCACTACTTGGGACCATGTACTCCGATTTGACGGTAAAAGGAGGGTCCTGGTATGGACAAGTTGGGGATTGCATTGACAGCAACTACCACATACACGCCCAGAAATCTCGCAAACAAAACATGCCCGAAACCTTACACCCTAAACCCTAAACCCCCAAACCGCTCAACCCTAAAGCCCTATAGTAACGATGCAGCTCTGTAGGTTGAAGCGAAGACTACCTCGGCTAACACAAATGCCAATGACCGGAGGAAGACAAAAACACCGCCTCCAGTACATTATGGTTTAGGGTTCGAGTGTAGGGGTTCGGACATGGATGCAGGGTTTAGGCGTTCGGACTTCGGGTAGGCTTGGATTGGTGTTTCGGGCTTATGGTGGTGCAAGGCAAAACGAATGCTGGGGGTTTTTGGGAATTTCCTTTCGCGACCGGATTTTTTCAGAACTCATGGCGAAGCTCTCCAAAGCA